CTGTCCCCCGCCACCCGCCCTGTCGGAGGCCCACCGCCACCGGCGGCAGCAGGGCGGCGAAGAGACCCATCCCCACTGCCAGCTGGGCCACCAGTGCTCGGCTCTGGGGCCAGCCCCAGGCGTGGGGCCGCTTGGCCAGTGCCACCAGCAGCGCCCCAGTGCCCAGGGTGGCTGCAGCGCAGGTGACGGCCAGGAAGGTGGGAGCCACGTGCTGGAAGAGGGGACAGTACTGATTGTGGCAGGGCGCGGCATCGTAGTCCAGGGAGGTCATGTTGCTGTCATCATAGGAGAGGTTGCCCATGATGTCCAGCAGGTCCAGGGAGTTTTCGCTCTCCAGGATCCTGGGGCTCTGTGAATGAGACCAGTGGGCATCAGGGAGGGATGAACCCGGCTGACTGCAAGGTGCCCGCATCCCACAGCATCGCTTGAGACATCCCCTCTGATGGGCTGCTGCTCCCCGCCATGGAGCTGCTGCCCTGCTGGTGCTGGGGGATTCATGTACAGTCCTAGTGCAGGTTGAGCAGGGCAATTTATCAGGGAGGGACACACTGCGGAGAGGGGAGGCCTTCTGCTGATACCTCAGGGGTGTGGGATTGTCCTGAGCCGGCCCCACTGTACATGAAAGCACAAATTTTCTTACAGCCTCAAAGGAGAGTTGCAGACCCCTAGTGGGTGGGTGCAAACCCCACCAAGCTGCCTGCAAGTGAGTGCCGGCAGTACCTGCTGCAAGCCCTGGCCCTGCTCACCACCATGCACCCACGTGGCCCCAGCCCTCATGTCCAGCGGGATGGGAAATCGCTGGGAAGAAGCAGCAGGGGAGGGGAGAGGCACTTACCACCAGGATGCAGTTGCCCATGATGTGTGTCCCAGGACGGCACCCACTCCTCTGTGTTTGGGGTCTCCAATGGGTGCTGTGCGTGGCAGCCAATGCTCAGCCACACATGCTCACTGCAGGGCGCTGTGCCCAGCGGTGCACACTCAGGGGTGCACGCACTCTTATGGGCGCCACGCACGTCAGTGCACACTCTCCAAGAGCTGTGTTGCACAGCGGTGCCTGCTCCACTCACTCTCCCTCAGGCTCCACTCCTCCCGCTTGAAAGGGAGGTGAAGGACTGCAGTAACGAGATAAGAGCTGCCTCATTAATGGCAGCCCTCCTGGCCTGGCAATCCCCTTTGCCAGGGTCTGAAGGAAACAGGCGGGTCACCACTGCCGGTAAAGCCAGTGAGCTGCCAGTGCAAGCCTGCAATTTCTCGAGCAGGAAACAATCACTTCCTGGCAGAACACCTTAAATTAATTAGGAACTGTATTTACAGGCACATCCCGGCTGTGTGGATGCTCCTGTTGCTGTCCTGGACTCAGGCGTGTGCAGAGTTTCATCCCAGGGATGCTGGCTGAGTGCAAGCCTGGCTCTGGGGCGTAGGGTGGGTGTTGTGGGTGCAGGATGCTGGCAGCTGCCGAGGGGACCCCGTGGTGGCGCAGCCTCAGCATGCGGTGCTTTCCAGCTCCCGTACAGCAAGGAAATCCGCAGCTCTTCCTCGAGACGCCCTGCTGGGAGGCCGGATCCTGCGGGGTCACCCTGTGACACCGGAGCTGAGTCAT